ATTAAAGATTTTTTTCAGATATAAAAGATAAAGTAATATAAAATAAAATTAAAGGAAAGAAAGAAAGAAAGAAAGAAAGAAAGAAAGAAAGAAAGAAAGAAAGAAAGAAAGAAAGAAAGAAAGAAAGAAAGAAAAGAAAAAGTAAAGTGAAAAGTGAGAAAAGTATAAGAGAGAAGATCTCCTTTATAGCGGTTACAAGCATGGCTATTTATGGTATAACAAAGTTAAGGTTAATGTAGATTTTAAAAAATCACTTTTTTAGATGTGCCTTACTGACAATATGGAATAGATATAAAGCTAGGTTGCTCCCAAAGGTTCCTTTATGGTTGTCACTACAAGAAGCTTTTTACAGCAGTTACAAGCAAACAGATCTTCACACCTCCCTCCTTTAAAATACATTATATTACCCTTCTTCCCATTAATCAACCATTTTTAATCAACAAATCCATAAATCATGAAATCTTTTTTTCCCCATTTTCAGCAAAAAGTCCATAAAAGGTTTCCAGTCTTTAATAAAAGTACTTATTGTCTTGTCCCTGATCAAACAGATCAATTTTTGACCTAATTCTATCATCTTCACAATCCATTACTCCATTGGGGGTATTTCAGTATTTTTCCATCTTTGTGCATATAATAACCTTGTTGCAGTAACCATATACAACTAAGGCCATATTTTTAATGAGGCCATGTAAGATTTGACAAGTGATTCAGAAAGTGTTGGTCAGACCCTTTGCAGGCAAATGCTCCTGTGGAAATCAGCTGTCCATTCTTTCCTACAGCCCAAGCCAAAGGTGTCTATGGCAAAAATTGTGTTGGGAGAAGGGAGAAAACAAAATTGGAGCAGCTAAAAATTACTTTAAGCTGCCTCAGTTGTGGGTGGAGATGGCATGAAAGGAATGTCATGAAGACAAGGCATAAGAGCGCCATGTGGGGTATGTTTGTGTTGCATTAGGTGGATATGGGTATGTGCTCTACATCTACCTTGTCTAGAACTTTACTTTTTTGGGACAGGCCTTGACTTCTCATACCTCTGGAATAAAGTGCCTGATTTTTAACTGAAGAGAGTGATGGTGAATGTTGAATGCATTCTTATTTGAAGAGTGTTTTGCAACTGCTACCCTGCTCACCTTCACAAGCATCCCGTGTCAATCGTTTTACAGATGCCATTTCAAGGTATAGAAAGCATGGTCTTAGCATTAGCAACCTGCATTCTCTTCCCACTGCCTCCTTAAAAGACAGTAGGGAGCCTCACAGAAGAACCCCCCTGGGACATGGCTCAAGGAGCTATGGTGGTTTCCAATCTTTGGGGCTGCTGATAAAGCAGAGGTTCCACTTAGCAGCAGGAAGGCAGGAGTCCATTTCGCAGCAGTGTAAAAATGCCAATAGTCTCTGGCAGGAAAGGGCTTGGAGATATTCATGCAGCTGAAATTGCCAAGGCAGAAAAACATGACTTCATACTCATAGCTGGCACTTCCGATGCATCTGGCTCTAGGGCTGAACATAGATTCTCTGGTACCCATGGCATAAAATTAAAATGTTATCTGTGGGCTTTGCTAATTAATACAGAGCATAAGCCTCTGGGATATGTTGGTGCACAAACCCATTCAAAATGAATGGGAGCTGTCAAAGAGGAAGCTCGGCACTAGCAGCCTAATGCAAAATCACTAACAGCACTGTCACCTCAGTAGCAGCAGAAATCTGCCCACCCTATCATTATTGATGCTCCAGTTTGCAAAATGGCCCTTTATCTAGATTGGTGGCAGATAGCATGGTCATAGTTAATAGTCCCTGATGCTTGTTGAGCCACTAGAATTTGTGTCAGACCCTGTCTGGCTGAGTGAAATCTGTGCATGGGTTGCTTTAAGATTGCTTAGCTGGCAAAACCAGCATTTTGATATTGGTGTCCTGAACTGATGCTACAAAGCAGCTCTGCCCAGTCTGAAGACCTCAAGATATATCAAGATTACAACCCTCAGAATTCTCAGCCAGAATGGCCAATGAAAGCTACAATCCCAATACATCCAAAGGGTGTCAAATGGAGGAAAGCTGTTATAAAGCCTTAGACTCTGGCACATGGGAGTTCCTTGGGGCTCTACTCCTCCTATTCATAATACCTGCGCAGGTTCTACTGTCCACCTATTGTAAAGGGCAGAGGGAATGGCTCTGAAGGACAGGAAGAAGAGCCACTACCAAAGCAATGGTCAGATAAAAGGGGCTGAGCCCAGGCCAAGAAAGTAGTGTGGGTAAACATCTGACAAGCCCCTCCCTAGTTCACATGAAGATAATGGATGGGAGAAGAGAAGTGCATTCAAGCTTGCAAGATTCTGGTATTATAGCTTTACAATAAAAGTAGTATTGACCTACATGGCATTGGCTTCCTGACACCTATTCAAATGTGCAATTATAAATGAAGTTTGTTGCAAAATTTCCCACACTCCAGCATGACATAAAGGAAGTGGCCTGAGATATTGTATGTGAAATACCTGGATGCTTGGGGAAAAAATCAACAGACATGATTATTGTTATCAAATATTACAAGGAATTTTTGACAGTTCAGAAAAGTGATGGAGTATAATCCCACTCTGGGAATAATTGTGAGATTTTTGGAAGAGGAAATGGTAATTTCTTTCTATAGCAGTGCTTCCTAATCTGGTGCTCTCCAGATGTGTGGACTACAGCTTCCATTATCCTGTGGGCACATTTGCAGGGATTATAGCAGTATCAGACTGATACCACTGGAGGGCACTCAATTGGAGAAGACTGGTCTGTAGGATACCTACTTATTCTGAACATGGCAGAGGGTACTTTCATATCGATCATCTTTGTGGAGCCCATGCATAGAGTGTATAATCTCTGGAGATTATATCACTGCCTACTTGAATTGATAAAATAAAGCATGCCAGAATGCCCCCACCAGAGATAAGAGATATTCTTATGCCCCAAATGTGCCTGCTTTATGTACTGGTAATGTATTTGCTAAGCACCTGTCAGGCCCAGCCCAAGAACAGCCATGAAACAGTCCAGTCGAGTATAATCTATTTGCTTACACCTTATAGTCAGAATCTTGCCAAACTAAATCTATGCTACAGCAACTAGTGGATACACCCTGGGAGATTCTAGGGAGTGGCTATCCTGAATCTCTTACTCTTCTCACGCTCCCCCTGTGGACTGTGTTGTCTTTTGTCTCCTTTCCCTTGCTGGAATGTAGCCCCTCCTTCCCGATAGCCTTGATCTCCCACATCACTCTCCTCCTCATTGATACATCCCATCACATCACCTGCAGATACAGCTCCTCGTGTTCCATCAAACGGAATTGTTTAGGAAATAGGAAGTACCTCTAGCTGGATCAGGCCAAGGCTGTATAATCTTCCCACTAGCAGCCAGTCAGATATCTAAGATTTGTGTGAGTTTGTATAGGCAACCCATGAAATTGGGAAAAAGAGTAAATGTTGACCTAGGCAGTTCTTCTGTGAAGAATGATGAAGCTACCCGTTTCTTATACCATTGGATTAATTTGGATGTTTAAAAGAAAGAAGAATTTAATCTCCTTTTTTCTCCTTGACTTGCTTATAAGTCATCTTATAACCAAATAAAAACTGAGTGCTTCCTGAAGTGATTATCAGCTAGCAAGAACTCACATATTTGGGACATGTGATGCAAGGGGCTGGACTAGAAAAAATGATTAAACTTGGCAAGTTTGAGGCAAGAGCAAGAAGTGGAAGGCAACAGATAAGATAGATAGAATGGGATTGAAGAAATCACTGGGCTGTTCTTGAAAGAGTTACAGATTAAGATGTTAGGCATTTGTCCATATAGTCACCAGGAGTCTTAGCTAAATTCTTAGTCATTTTGATGGATTGTAACCAACGTAGAAGACACCTGGACAGAAAACTCTGGTATACTTGCATTTGAATGATCACTATTCGCTGTTAGTGAAGGGAACTCATTAATGTTCCCAGAATTTCCATAATCCTATAGTTCATCCACCAAGACCAAATGAAAGTCATGCTTTTGTAACCTGAAGGATCAGGGATTGCAGTGTATGAAATGAGGTGTATCTTCAAAAATTTCTGTGAAGCTGCAGCTACTGCACTACATGTCTGACCACTTCCTTTTGCCGAGAGCGTATAATTACTACTCCGTCAGTTGCACCGACTGCTTTTCAAGTTTCCGTGCCCAGTTCAGAGAGTTGGTGGTTTTCGTTAAAGACCTTTGCAGTTTGAATCTACCAGAGCAGGAGCTGCCTCCATGTCTTGGTCCTTAGAGATCTGCTGGTGAATTCCTGTTGGAGATAACTGCTTTTGCCTCACTGAAGTTGCAGAATTAGGTTCCTAAAGTAGCCTGACAGACTCTAGTTGGTTTCAGAAGGTAAGTAAATTCTATTTTGTTTATGCAGGCATTATTTGACATTTGATCTATCTAATTAATCTGATCAATCAATCTAATTAATATTGGCCTCCTTGTTTGTTTATGGTATCACTTTTATGACCTATTTCATATATATATTTGTATAACAGTCTTGCTGACTAGGAATTATAAGAATTATAGTCAGGAATTCAGCAAGGGAAGGCCATTCTTCAATAAAATGCTAAAGTATAAAAGTATATGATGGCATGCCGTTGTTCTAGGGAAATAGATGTCGTGATTTCAGTCATACATATTAATTTAATGATGAACTGAAGGGGGTGATTAGTTGGCAAAACACCTGGACTCTTGGGACCATAGTTTAATGCTTTGATTTTGAAACACGGATAAATAAATAATAGGAAAGACTGTAATAGTGAATCTTGGAGAACTGCTATGGTGCAATGGTCAGAGTGTTGGACTCGAATCAATATGATCCAGGTTCAAATTTCTGCTGGGCCACAAAGGGTCTTTGGGCTACTTGTTGAGTGTAGCTACTTAAGCTCTGTTGCTATATAAATCAATATATACTTACATCAGAAAGATCTTGATCAAGCCAGGACTTACCCTTTTAAATCCTACTGAATTCAGTGAGGGAGCTAAACAGGTTCTTAAATGTTTCACTGAGCTCCAAAGTATTTAACTTCAGTTGTATTTACTAATTGCTCATTTGCCCAAGCAATTAGTCCCTGTACAAATTAATAAGATTAAACTAAAGTAAATCCTTATCATTTAATAAAATAGTAACTGTAGTAATAGAGGCATGTTAAGGAACTCTGATGTACTTCAAGCACCACTTTCCCATGATGGTGGAGAATTGTATTTTTTTTCACTGTCCACTCTTAAATTATTTTAATAATTGTTTTATTTTTTGCTGAGGGGAATGTATGTGTACTATCTTCCTTAGATGCAAAAATGTTTTGTGTCTGCCTGAAAAATCCAAGAGGGGAAACAACCCTCATTGTAGCATGATGTTTGAGAACAACTCCTGTTTAAAAGAGTTTTACAAGGAATACACCATTGACCAGGTACAGTCCTACATACAAGCAAAGAATGGATTCAAAGGTGCCCCTTTAAATCTACCATCCAGGCAGCCACTGAACTACCTGTATGGTTGAGCCAAGACCACAGGTAGTCCTTGACTTACAACTACAATTGGGACTGGAACTTCTGTCGCTAAGTGATGTGGTCATTAAGTGAGTTGCACCCAATTTTATGACCTTTCTTGCCATGGTCATTAAGTGAATCACTGCAGTTGTTAAGTGAATCATGCAGTCGTTAAGCAAGTCTGGCTTCCCCCATTGACTTTGCTTATCAGAAGCCCCCTTGGGAAGGTTGCAGATGGCGATCACGTTACCCCTGGACACTGCAACCATTGTAAATACACGCTGGTTGCCAAGTGCCTGAACTGTGATCACATGACCACGGGGACACTGCGACGGTCGTAAGTGTGGGGACCTGTTGTAAGTAACTTTTTTCAGCACCGTTGTAACTTTAAACAGTTGTTAAACAAATCATTGTAAGTCGAGGACTACCTGTATTTGGTTGCTGGGGCTGCTGGCTTGGATGATGTTGGAGTCACTTTTACCCTAATTTGGAGGCCTGGCACCAGTAGCAGTCTGAAAGCAGCTGCTGCCCCCATTGGCTGTTCTTCTCACCCATGTCGTAACCTTTGGAATAACCACAAGCCTCCCTTTCCTCTGAAGCAGCACTTTCAGTGGTTTGGGATATTAACCTTGTGGGAGGCAGCCCAGAGAGCAAAGTAGCAGAGCAGAGCAGGGCTTTTTAGCAGAAGTTGGCCTCTTGCATAAGTGTCCACTGAAAGGTTAATGAGTGTGAGTTAAAATAGGCCAGGCAAATGTTCTTTTGTGGAAGGGCTGAACTCCCTTCTGCCAAAAAACAGGCAATCTGTCTGTTGGACAAATGGGCATTTGATCCGGGTCACAGAGAGACATGCTGTTATAATAGACAGCAACATGGCTCTGTGGTTTTTCAGCATTTTTTCCAGTGGGGGACACCCACAGGATCAGGGGCTTGGATCTCTCAGGACTGAATGCTGAGCACTCGTAAACAGCCTAGATTCAGAGAGAGTGAGAGCACAGGGGCGGGTAGGTTCCATGAGCATTATCAGCCCATGTGTGCATGTGGGTCTCTGGTGTCCATAAGAAGCACCTCTTGGGAAGTTGCTTCTGTCTAAGACTCTGGTTCTTGTTGTCCCTATTTGTGAATGTACTTCTGATCAATAGCCATAGATCATGCCCTTTGGGAGAAGTTCATTTGTTCTTATACAGTATGTGTGTCTGCGTATTTGGTTACATTTATAAACATTAACTGCGTTTCTGAATGTGTGTGTGTGTACACACAGAAACAGACACAGACAGACAGACAGATATATATTATATGCATATATATGCAACTCCCTTTCATATTACTTGGGCTCACGCTGGTGATCTGCCCCATGGATCATGCCTTCTTTCAGATCAGATTCTACATTTTATTTTGAAAAGTATGATTTAAAGAAATTATAATTTAAAGGGAATTAGCGTTTTTATAAGGCAGACAACTATCTTAAATTGGAGCAACATTGGAGTCAGGAGAATGGGAATCAGTAAAGGTCAGATCTCCAAATATATTACCTAAAAACATGGTTATTTTATGTGCTCCATATACAGAATGTCTTTGTAATATTTTCTTTTCTTTACATAATGAAGAAAGGAAAACATTTTGGAAGCCAATGGTCACTCCTATAGATGCAGATGCAGACTGTTGTCCAAGAGAGCAGTTATACCAGAAATTCACTCAACTCACACCTGTTCCTGATTGCCTCTAGGACACAACTGCTTAATGCCACTCAGGCTTTCTGCTCTCTGGCTGGAGGATTCCACCACTCAACCCTAGATGCACTTGTGAGAGAGAACTCATCTTCTGCATCTATGCCTTCTGGGTTCTCGCCATCACATAAATAGAAATAATTACAAAGACTGGAAAAGGATTCCCAGCTATTGAGGATTTCTCAGTTATTAGCAGTTTACAAAAACAGCCAGTAGGCACTCAGAATGATTTAGTCAATCATCAGCCAGCATCTGCAACTATTTAGTAAAAAAAAAGTCTGCAATACAGGAGACGTATTTTACTGCCTGTGCATTTAGTGATTTAGCAGACAAGCTAGTTTATGAGACTGAAAGAAGAAAAAGGCTGGTCCAGGGATCATTCTAGCCAGATTCCATGGCCAAAATGTCCATGGTGGGTGAAGCTGAATAATCTCATGTACTGATCAGTGACTGTTCTCATTTTGTATTATGCCTAGTAGCATAAGTGAGTGAGATCATGGCTAGTCCTGTGATATTCCTGCAGATGGGCAGTTGGAGCAAACCACATAGGACAAAGGGCCTCAACACTCATATTCACCATCTTCAACCTGCCCTGGTGCTTGTGGAAGGACCCTCAGAATTCCCAGCCAGAAGGGAAGTTGTGGTTTCAACACATCTGGAGGCTGAGAAAGAGTGGTCTTATATAGACAAAGCTGACATATGAAATATTCAATTCGTTCCCTGGAGCTTCCCACCCCTACCTCTTGATTCGGTAGCTTCTGGGGCTCTTCAGGCCTCTTCACTTATCCTACCCACTTCTGTCTGGATCTCACATATGGTTGCTGATCTTTACTGATTGTATGGTAGGGTGAAAGCCAGTGGAAATTCATCTAAATGAAGCTTCAAAGTCTAGCCTTCTTTAGACTGAATAAACTGCTTCTTTAAGCCTTTAATAAGGCTGCTTCTATCCTGGATGTTTTGGGAAGAGGAGAAAGACACTGGCATCTGTCATTCATTGTATGGAGAATTCAGCATTTGTCAAATAATTGTATTCCAGTGTTTCTGGTGTTATCCTCCCTTTTTTTTTTCAGGTTTAATTTGTTTTGTTATAGTTGCAACTATGATAAATAATATATACTTGCAACACTGCTCTATTCCATGTAGAAAACAAAGTACTATTGAAATTCTTCAAGACTCATGCTCCTTTAATTCATATATCTTGTTTCCAGCTTCCAGGTCTTGCCTGTTTTATTAATTCCTGTTAACTGCAACCTTATTACTAGTAAATTGTTTCCTAAATCCCCTGGAATAGTCTCTGTTTCTATATATACTATAAATATTATTTTGTCCTTTTTTTGAAAAGATGTAATTAGGACTAAAGCATCCTATGAGAACAGAACTGACACCGACAGTTAAGGGAGGCTGTTCAAGTGAGACTTAAGAAATGATAACCCTTCATCTCCTTACCCCAGTAAACAGGAGCTGCTAAAACAGACAGGGCTTGCAAACCTGAAACTTGTAATGAAATTGAAATTATCTTTCTGGTTGTGAAAGGGCCCTAAAGGATTTGTGTGAAAGGTACCCAAGCTGCTGTCAGCAGACTTCCTATGCCAGCTAGTTGGCTATCAATCTATCTGTATGCCACCCATGGCTATCTTGCTTCATTTCCTCCTACGTGCCTATCCTAGTGATGATCTACTTTCTAGCTCTGACAGACTTGGTGGGGTTTTAGTTGCTGGTTCTAACAGTTCTCCACCAACTGTATACAGTATGACAGATAGCTCCTATTGTTGATCGGGCGATAAGCCCAAATCC